ATAAAATAACTTGGGAAATTCACACTGACACCACATACCAGTTCTATTCAGTTTGGTCTTGAGGGTTTAGGGTTTAGGGTTTAGGGTTTAGGGTTTAGGGTTTAGGGTTTAGGGTTTAGGGTTTAGGGAACCTCCCGGGACCTCACCAGGCTGGTGGCGTACGAATGTCATAGGATCAGAAAAGGCCCTTGAGTACCAACGCCCTAATTAAACCCCGAAACAACAAACCCACACTAAACCCTAAACCCTAAACCCTAAACCCTAAACCCTAAAATCCCGAGTGAAGCTCCAAAGGGTTGCTTGCTGGCTTAAAACTCCGAACACCGACCTGCCTGGCCGCAGGTTGTGGGTTTAGGGCTTAGGGTTTAGGATTTCGGGTTCTGGGTTTTGGGTTTAGGGTTCTGGGGTTTTTGGGGTTTAGGGGTACGATTCACATAAGTCAGGTTTCAGGTTCACGGGCCTAGGGCCTAGGGCCTAGAGTGCATGTCAAGGTTCACTGGCAGGTAGAAGCGGGGTTCGGGGTACTTATTAACCAATTGTAACTGTACTTATATCTGTACTTATAACTATTTTTAGGGCACTTAAGGGGCTTTAACCAATTGTAACTGTACTTATAACTGTACTTATATAACGGTACTTACAAGTATTTTTAGGGCACTTAAGGGGCTTACTAAGTGGGTTATAAGTGCAGTGATGGTTGGTTTGCTAAGTACCATGAACCTCCAAGTAGAAGTGGGGCTCGGGTACCCCATATCAGATGAGGCCCTTCTTGGTAGCCCAGTAACCAGATTATAGCAAGGGTGTACCCTTTTTGGGGCTGGTTACTGCATAAGGGAGCCTAGAGCCAAAAAATAGGGTTTGTGGTTTAGGGTTTAGGGTGCACCCAGACCCAAAACCCCAAGCCGTTCTGTTCTGGGTCTGAGGCATTGAAGTTTAGATTCTTCAGAAGATCCTGGCAACGTGGAGCGGATCAGAGGTGTGAGAGCACATGGGGCGTTCATGTCTCCAAAGTTTGGTCCTTTTCAGGGGTCTCCAGTGTAACTTGCTTCAGATTTTGTTGAGGGTGCCAAAAGAGCTTCTAACTGTCGAAGAACGCCGCTTTTCAACTCTGGAGTGCAGGGCGCATAGATACACTAGCCTGTAGCTGCGCCTCCGCATGAGTATGGTCCTCGAAGAAAGCTCCCTAAACTCCTAAATCTTGGGATGCTCCCCCTTATACTAACAGTCCTGAATAGGGATTATCGTACCCCCTGTTTGAATCCCGATTTAGGACTGTTAGTATAAAAGGGGAACATCCCAACCTAAACCCTGAGCTATGTGAATACTCAACCTTAAACCCTAAACCCTAAACCCTAAACCCTAAACCTTGAACCCTAAACTCTAAACCCTAAACCTTAAACCCTAAACCCTAAACCCTAAACCCCGGCAGCTCTGAAAGGTGGTGGGGACTCCTCGTCCCAGTTGTCGTCCGCATCGCCGTGGATCTTCGTGCAGAATGTCAAGACCTGGCGTTCCAAACCTAGGGTTTAGGGTTTAGGGTTTAGGGTTTAGGGTTTAGGGTTTAGGGTTTAGGGTTTAGGGTTTAGGTTTTAGGTTTTAGGATTTAGGGGTTTTCGAGGAAGGGGTTACGGTTTAGGGTTTAGGGTTCAGGGTTGTCGGAAAAGATGGGGGTGGGGGGGGCTAGGGTTTAAGGCTTAAGGTTTAGGACCCCTGGCGAAATAAGGGGAACTAAGCTTATGGAACGGAGAACCTTAGGTGGGGCAGTGTTGGGGGGCAGGTGGACGAAGCCACTAAACTTAGCAACTTCATAAGCCCCAAAACAGTGTACACTTTCAGTTCTATAGGGATTATAGTATCCCCAAGAGTGTAAAGTGTACTCACTTAGCAACTAAGTAAATACGATCCGTACATGCCGAAACACGTGCAACTTAGGGGGCTGGCTACTGTAGTCCTCATGGTCCCTTGTAGGGGTAAACCCCAAACCTTAAACCCTAAAGCCTAGACCCTATACCCTAAACCCCAAACCCTAACCCTGAACCCTGAACCCTGAACCCTGAACCCTGAACCCTGAACCCTGAACCCTGAACCCTAAACCCTAAACCCTAAACCCTAAACCCCAAACCTAAACCATCCTAAACCCCTCCCCACAGGGCCACCGGGCCGTGACCCAGGTGGCCAAGCCGAAGGAGCAGAGGGCCCGGAGGAGCGCCAGGGGGCACCAGGCCGTGCTCAACCTTGGTTTGGGGTTTAGGGTTTAGGGTTTAGGGTTTAGGGTTTAGGGTTTAGGGTTTAGGGTTTAGGGGGTTTTTTTGAGAATGTTGGGGGGAATTTTGGGGGGAATTTTGCGGGATCTTGGGGAATTGGAGGGGATTCTGGGGGGGGTTCTGGATGATTTGGGGTTATTTTGGGGGTGGGGGCTTTTGGGGTTTGGGGGTTTGGGATTTGGGGGGGTTGGGGTTTAGGGTTTGGGGATTTGGGGCTTGGGTTTTTTTGGGGTTTGTGTTTTAGGGCTTGGTGACGAAGAGATTCGGGTACACTAGCGTAGGTGCTAGTTGTCACTGGGAGGTTCATGGGTACTTAAAACCCAATTTTAACTGCACTTATAAGCTCCCCAAGTCACCTATGTCGGTTAGAAGTAGACTCATACTTGGGGATGGTTATAAGTACCCATGAACCTCCCAAGTAGCTGGCCATAGCATTACTACGGGCACCTACCATCACCCTCCTGGCCAGGAACCTTCAAGCAGACCACATGGGGTGTAGGGTTTAGGGTTTCAGGTTTAGGGTTTAGGGATGGGCTGTCCGGGTCTTGGGGCTTTGGGTTGCAGGGTTTGGGGGTTCAAGGGATAGGGTCTATTGTGTTAAGCGGATTCAGAGGAAGTCGAGGGTTTACAGCTTTGCTGTGTAGGGCTTTGCAGGATTTGGCTTAGGGCTTATAAATAGGGTTTAGGGTTTAGGGTTTAGGGTTTAGGGTTTAGGGTTTAGGGTTTAGGGTTTAGGGTTTAGGGTTTAGGGTTTAGGGTTTAGGGTTTAGGGTTTAGGGTTTAGGGTTTAGGGTTTAGGGAAACTGTACGTGTTTAGTGTACTTAGGCTGAGTCTTTTGGCCTTGGTGATGGTATAGAGCTCAGGGTGTTGAGCGTGTTTTGGGTGGAGGGCTCCAAAGGGGCTCAGGAGCCGAAACCTTGTAATATATGGGCCTTAATAATTAGAATAGGTCTTTTTGATTGGGGGGGGGGGGGGATTATTATAGTACATATATAAAGAGACCACAAGGGAACAGTATTAGCAAGTATTCCGACCCCTGTATTAGGGGTTTGGGACTAGAAGGGCTTGAAAGAGTTCCTGGGATCTCCATGCAGCTGGGCGTGTGCCCTTGAATAGGAGAGTGGGGGTTTAGCTTGAAGTCCCGTTAAGGGTTTAGGACCACAGGTTCTACTTACTCTGTGACATGCATAACCACCATGCAAAGCCAGACCCTAAACCACCCCACGCACACCCTGGACCCAAAACCCCAGGTGTCTATTGGGATCTTCCCCCTTATACGAACAGTCCTTAATTGGGATTACAATAGGGGGGTTCTATAATCCTTATTAAGGAATGTAGGTATAAGGGGCAACATCCCCAGGTGCATGTACAAAACCACTGAGGCCAACTTGTGTCTTGCAGGCCTGGGGTGTTGCTGATGGCTGTTTCAGACCTAAAACCCTGAACCCTAACCCTAAACCCTAAACAATAAAACCCTCAACCCTAAACAATCTTGAGTTCAGGCTCTGCTCAGCAGGTGTTTTTCTTTATTTGTTTAACCCCGCCTGCGGTGATGCGAGTTCGACGCGAGGAATGCCGATCTCGGAACGAATTTCAGGCAAGCAGGGCGGCGCTCCGCCGACAGCTTGCTTCAGGGTCTAGAGTCCCGCGCAAGCGTTCCCTAAACCCTAAACCCTAAAACCTAAACCCTAAACTTAGGGCTTAGTATTTAGGGTTTAGGGTTTAGGGAGGGGTTCCTTATTTGGGGGGTCCTTGGACTTGGGGCCCATATGAGAGATTTGTTTTACAAGCCACTTCCAGGAAGGTGCCTCTGATGAAAACCCCACCCCCCCTCCCCCAGGGTTTAGGGTTTAGGGTTTAGGGTTTAGGGTTTAGGGCCGCCCCTGCAAACCCTCCTATGCCTTTCTTGCAACCGAAACAAGCTTTCAATTCGCGACTAGGGTTTGGGGTGGGTTTCGGGTTTAGGTTTTAGGCCTGAACCCAAAACCATAAACTCAGAGTTGTCAGGGGCGTGTGCGCTGAGAAAGATGGCTCTTGGTGACATGGGGGCGAGGCAAAGCGTGCAGAACGCTCTCCTTATGTACAGCCCCAAACTTTGCTTTACTGTTTCTGAGTAGGGAATGCCCAGCCACTTGGCCTAACAAGGGCCTATTCCTTCAATTCCAGATGACCGAATATGATCACATGTTTCAAAGCACCCCTAAACCCTAAAAACTAAACCCTAAGCCCCAAGGAGCATTCCTGGACAAGGGGTATTTGGGTTCTCTGGGCTTGGAAATTCCGAAACTTGGATTCCGTTTATGTACGTTGACTAGGCTGCCCAGCAACAAAGGTTCTGGGGTTTGGGGTTTGGGGTTTGGGTTTAGTGCGGGGTTGAACCCTAAACCCTAAACCCTAGACCTTTAGGTTCTGATGCGAGCTTTGGGGACCCCTAGTATGTCATTATGAATTGGGTGCCTAAGGTTTAGGGTTTAGGGTTGAGGGTTTACGGTTCTAACCCCATAGCTCCCTACTCAGAGCCAGCGGCTTTGAGCCACGAGCTTAACCTACAGCAGGCCAGACAGCCCGAAGGGTCGATCCTTTGACCAGCAAAAGCAACATCAGCTCCTGAACCCTCAGCCCTAAACCAGGGTTTAGGATTTGGGGTTTAGGGTTTGGGGTTTACCCTAAACCCTAAACCCTAAGCCCCTTATAAGGACCGATGGAGGTGAATCAACCTGAATTCTTGTGCGCCTTCACGCTCCGGCTTGGGCAAAGAGCTGCTCCTGGAAGTTCGTCTCTTAGAGTTTAGGGTTTAGGGTTTAGGGTTTAGGGTTTAGGGTTTAGGGTTTAGGGTTTAGGGTTTAGGGTTTAAGAAAGTTGAGGGGTATAAGGAGGGGCCCCTAGCAGGGACCCTATCTTATTCCCCTCTATAACCCTTACATATACCTTATGTAGTCCGGATATTCCTAAGTAGCCCCTAAATTCACGGTCCCCGTAGTAGAAGCCCTTAAAAGGGGACCTGTTAGTAATGTACCCCTTATAAGTACCCGATAAAAGTTCAAGGGGCCCATACTCAGAACCGTTTGAAGGAGGTAAGGGACCATATGTAAGGGCTTAGGGTTTAGGGTTTAGGGTTTGGGGTTTGGGGTTTAGGGTACCCTTAAGTCGTTCCTAGAGTCCTAGACCCCGAGCCCCAGATGCCCATCTGCCGGTTTGGGCTTGGGGTTTAGGGTTTAGGGTTTAGGGTTTGGGGTTTGGGGTTTGGGGTTTAGGGTTAAACTCTAAAACACAAGCCCTCAACCCTCAACCCTCAGCCCAAGCCCTGACCCAAAACTACCCAAATCCTTGCACATACACAGAGATTCAAGTCTAAACCTCACCAAGCACACCAAGCACGCAAACTCGACCCCCAAAGCCCTTCAGAGCTCAAAAACCGCCACAAACAAACCCAGAGATCAAACCCTAAACCCTAAACCCCAAACCCCAAACCCTAAACCCTAAACCTCGAAGTCACTTTGGGGCCTTTCCGCGCCGCAGCAAGCGGCAAGTCTCAGCCTCCAACTCGGCGTGCACTTTCAGAACCTGAATGGGGCTTTTGGGGGGGGCCTCTTGAGCTCCCCTTGGTTTAGGGCCTTTAGGGTTTAGGGTTTAGGGTTTAGGGTTTAGGGTTTGGGGTGTAGGGTTTAGGGTTTAGGGTTTGGGGTTTAGGGTTTTAGGGTCCCTATAGCTATGAACCGCAATGCCTTGTGGATCCGTCAGTCCATTTAGCCGCTTCGAAGCCTAAACTCTAAAACTCTAAAACCTAGAGGTAGAATCTGTGCCACGACCTCCTCGAACTAAACCCTAAACCCTTTTACCCTTCTGATCCCACTTCATACACCCAAGAAAGCCCTCCCTAAACCCTGAACCCTAAACCCTAAACCCTAAGCCCTAAACCCTAAACCCCTAAACCCCAAACCCTAAACCCTAAACTAAACCTAAACCCTATATAAACCCTAAACCCTAGACCCCCTAACCTTCGGTTCAGCGGCCTCGTCCAGCGCCGGCCCCAGCTCCGCGGAAAGGCTCTGGGCCCCCAGCTGAAAGGCGCGCCTGGGAGATTAGGGTTTAGGGTTTAGGGTTTAGGGTTTCGGGTGCAGGGGTTGAGGGGCTTAGGACAATATTTGCAATAGGATCATACATCACCAAAAAAGTTGAAGGTTAGCTACCCAGCCCCGAAGCAGTTTAGGGCAAGCTTGCAAGGATTGTAATATCGTGGATCGCGCAAGTAGCTGCTAGCTGCACCATGAATAAACGAAGCTGGACTGAGCCTAGACCTAAGGGTAACCTAGGAATAAACAAGGGCACCTTTGTTGGTTTAAAGGGGATTACAAAAAGGAGCCTAAACCCCTCTGGGTCCTGGGTGCACCCTAAACCCTAGACCCTAAACCCTAAACCCGAAACCCTAAACCCTAAACTGCAGCACAGAGGCTGGCGCTGCTCCTCCTCGCCACAAATCTTGGCCTCAAGCTCCTGCTGGTTGGGATTTCTTGTGCATGGTAGGGTTCAGGGGAGATACGTTAAGGGCCTACTTGGTACATACATGAGTCCCTAAACCCTACACCCTAAACCCCTACGTAAGTAAACCCTAAACCCTAAGCCCTAAGCCCTAAGCCCTAAACCCTAAACCCTAAAACCCGGCGTTATGACTCCCCACGTGGGGCTCATTTTGCTTCGGTCTTCGGGTTTGGGGAGGGAGGGGACGGGGGGTTCCTAAAGATGCTCTAGCGGTGTTGGGTTCAGGGTAGAGGGTTCCTGGGCGTCATAGTCGCGACATTCGGCTTCGGGGCCTTGCAGATGATGTCAATTGCAGCGATCGTGGTTCGTGCCTTCTCATAAGCCTACTATTTGCTTAAGAACCCCAACAGGAAAACATCATATTCCCTATATTACCCTTAATAAGGAAGAATATTTGTGTTTTTTCGGGTTTCCTTAAGCAACTAGTAGAAGACCTACGGTGCACGAGAAAAGCAAAAGTGCCCTGGCTTCTAGGGTCTCCAGCTCAGGGTGCCATAAACACCGCAACCCACAAACGCCGAAGCCCCCAAACCCGAAATCCTAACCCAGAGACTCCCAAAACGCCTTCATTAAGGAATATACCTTACATCATATGAGGGTTCCTATTCTAATCTAAGGTATATTCCTTAATTAAGGGGTTTTGGAGTCTCTGGGAAGCCCAAGATACGAAAGCGCTGAAGAACCCCGCAAAGATGAAAGGTAACAGTCCCTCTATTGTCCTTTCAGGAAGGAATATGTTTATTTTGTCCTTCATTGTTTTTTTTGCAATAGTTTGATTTTTTTTTTTTGGGGGGGGGGGTTCTTAAGAATACGTAGTAGCAAGAGTACAGTCTGTGCCTGGGTGCGCTCAGCGTTGTTCCGCAACTGCTCCTGCAGCCTGGGCCATGAAGCTTGGTTCGAGGAACCAGGGGGTTTCGGGGGTTTACAGCAGTCTAGGGCTGAGGGTTAACCTTAAATCCTAAAACCCTAAACCCTCAACCCGAAGCTCGTGTAGGGTTTCGAGTTACAGGTCTACCCGAAGCATCCCTAAGCCCTAAGCCCTAAGCCCTAAGCCCTAAGCCCTAAGCCCTAAGCCCTAAGCCCTAAGCCCTACACCCAAAACCCTAAACCTTAAACTCCGCCGGGGCACTCCATCTCTGCTCGCCTGAGCTCTGCCGCGCGGCGCTCCTTTGTGTCCGTGGCCGCCTGCTCGACGTCCTGATGCTTCGGGTTTAGGGTTTAGGGTTTAGGGTTTAGGGTTTAGGGTTTAGGGTTTAGGGTTTAGGGTTTAGGGATTAGGCTTCCATTCCGAGACAGGGGTAGGTTTGAATATATTTTTGTTTCCTACCCTTAGTCCCCTAAATCATCCATATAAAACCAAAAAAGAACTTTCATAGCAACACCAAACACATGACTACCCTGAGTCCCCTAAAACATCCTTGCGATGCCCCCTGGCGATGCCATAAAAAAGTCATTTGTACGGGGCCTCGAAACCTACCCGAAAGAGACTAATTGGGGTCTCAGTAGCCCAGTAACCATACTATGATAAGGGCACACATTTTTGGGGGGTTGGTTCTTTTACAAGGGAACCCATAAACCAAAAAAAGGGTATAATGGGTACCACTGGGCTACCCAGGGGTTATAAGTTATAAGTACCCGCAACTTCCAAGTCCTAAACCCTAAACCCTGAACTTTGAACCCTAAACCCTGAACCCTAAACCCTAAACCCTAAACCCTGAGTCCTAAACCCTAAACCCTGAGTCCTAAACCCTAAACCCTGAGTCCTGAACCCTAAACCCTAAACCCTAAACCCTACAACTTCCAAGTAAGGCCCCGGCCCACAGACGATCGCGGTGGCCCTCGGCCGCCTTCTCACAGGCACCGCGCGCCTTGGAAGGCGGAAGCTTTTGAAAGGAGGGAATCAGAGTTTATGATAGGGTTTAGGGTTTAGGGTTTAGGGTTTAGGGTTTAGGGTTTAGAGATCAGGGTTTAGGGCTTAGGGACCAGGGTTTAGGGATTAGGATTGAGGGACCAGGGCTTAGGATTAGGGTGTGGGGCTTTGAGGCGTTGAGCGTTTCGGGTTGAGGGTAGCTAGTTTACATGATCTTTGTTTAGCAACTCGGGTTTCGGGCATAGCTCAATGCCTTAAAGCCTCTTCCGTCCACCACACATACCCGGGGCTCCGTGGGGCTTTCAGTTCAGGGGTTTAGGGTTTAGGGTTTAGGGTTTAGAGTTTAGGGTTTAGGGCATAGGGTTTAGGGTTTAGGGTTTAGGGTTTAGGGTTTAGGGTTTAGGGTTTAGGGGTTAGGGGTTAGGGGTTAGGGTGTAGGGTGTAGGGTTTAGGGTTTAGGGTTTAGGCTCTGCACCTCTTTGATGGCTTGGATGTCCTTCCGCGCGGCAGCCAAGCTGTCCAACACCTTGCTGCAGGTTCAGGGTCTAGGCTTTAGGATTTAGGGTTTAGGGCTGAGATGGTTGAGGGTTTTACCCCTAAACCTTAAACCCTAAACCCTGAACCCAAAACCTAAAACCCTAAACCCTGCACCCTAAGACGAGTGCGCTTGGGTTCAGGTCTGCATTCGGTTTCTTGTGTCAACAAAACCCTAAATCCTACAGAGCGCGCACACACACACACACACACAAGCCGAGCGAAACCGCCGAAACCCAAAGTTCTACAAACCCCAAACCCCAAACACTCCACCAAAACCTCTGGAAACCCTAAGCCCAAACCGCAAAACATACCCCCCCCCTTCATCCCCTACCCCCCCCCCCCCCCCCTTCATCCCCTAAATCCCCCTCCGCCCTTCATCCCCTAAACCCTAAACCTCATAAACCCTAAATCCCCTACAGCCCTAAACCCTAAACCAGAAAACCCCAAAATCCCAAAACTCCCTCAACCCCCAAAAAACCCTGAACCCTGAACCCTGAACCCTAAACCCTAAACCCTAAACCCTAAACCCTAAACCCTAAACCCCCCAAAAAGCGCCCACCTGCTCCAACTCCTCCTGCGCCTTCTCTTGGTCGGCCCAGGTCTCCGAGGCATCGCGCGCCTGCGCCTCCTAGGGTTTAGGGTTTAGGGTTTAGGGTTTAGGGTTTAGGGTTTAGGGTTTAGGGTTTAGGGTTTAGGGTTTATAGGGTTTATAGGGTTTAAGGTTTTGGAGTCTTTGCGCCGTTGGGCAGCGCATGGACAGGGGGGGGGGGGGGGGGGTTAGGGGTTTGAGGGTTTAGGACCCTCAGCCCCAAACCCTCAGCCCTGAGGCCTACACCCTAAACCCTAAACCCTGAAGCCTAAACCCCTAACCCCAAACCCCAAACCCCAAAACCCTGAACCCAAACCCCCAAACCTCAAACCCCACACCCTAAACCCTAAACCCTAAACCCCAAACCCCCAAACCCTAAGAGGCCAGGTGTCGAGGTCTTGCCGTCGGCCCTTGAGGTCCTCCAGCATCCGACGCTTTGGGCTCTGCCAATGTGAAGCCTCGGCCTGCGGTTTTGGGCTTCTTGTAAGGGGTTTTTAAGGGGTTTATGGGGTTTTTAAGGGGTTTAAGGGGTTTGAGGGGTTTCTTTTAAGGGGTTTAAGGGGTTTAAGGTTTTCAAGGGCTTTTTGAGGTGTTTTTTACGGCCTGCAGGATTGTTGAGGGGTTTTAGGGGTTTCAGGGTTTTTAGGGGTTTTAAGGGGTTGCGGAAGGGGTTTTAGGCGTTTAAGGGTATTTAAGGAAGCTTTAATGTGTTCAGGGGTTTAAGGGTCTGAGGGATTCAGGGTTTCGGATTAGCCAAACAAAACCAGCCTAAACCCTAAACCCTAAACCCTAAACCCTAAACCCTAAACCCTAAACCCTAAACCCTAAACCCTAAACCCTACACCCTGAACCCTAGGGTGGCCTCAGGACCTTGGCTGCTGTTCCATTGGATCCTGCACTACCCCCCACCTCAACCCTCATAGGGTTTAGGGTTTAGGGTTTAGGGTTTAGGGTTTAGGGTTTAGGGTTTAGGGTTTAGGGTTTAGGGTTTAGGGTAACCCTCCCTACCCCCCCCCCCCCCTCCTCCCGGCGCCTTCAGCTGGGCCTCCCTGGTGCGAACGCGCTCAGCGCAGGCCTGGCCCACGATGGCTTCGGTCGCAGGTTTAGGATTTAGGGTTTAGGGCTTAGGGCTTAGGGCTTAGGGTCTAGGGTCTAGGGTCTAGGGTCTAGGGTCTAGGGTTTAGGGTTTAGGGTTTAGGGTATTCATAACGCGGCCCGGCGCGGCTCAGATATACGTATAAATATACATATACATATACATACACATATACACATACATATACATATGCACATATGCAAGTAAATAAAGAAGCCCCAAAGACCTCATCCTAAACCATCCGAAAACAAAAAAGCCTCTTGACAACCAAAGCAAACCTAAACCCTAAACCCTAAACCCTAAACCCTCAACCCTAAACCCTAAACCCTAAACCCCAAACCCTAAACCCTAAACCCTATGCAAAGGGCTCCAGGAGTCGCCAACAGACTGAAGATAGATGCTTTGGGGTTCAGGGTTTAGGGTTTAGGGTTTAGGGTGTAGGGTCATGTCGAGGAATAAAAGATTTTGGTGGGTCAAGGTAAAGGAATTAAAGGCTTTGGTGGGTAAACCGTCTCAGCGCTGAAGGGTTTCTAAGTTTGCTTCAGGTGTGGGGGCTTTAAGGGTTTAGGAGCTTCAGGCTCACATGATACTTCTCTGGAAGCAATGTTGACAAGTTGTTGCCTGAATATTCCGTTGGGGTGTCCGTATCACAAGGGCTGACGTGCAAGGATTTCGCGGGTTAGGGCTTGGGGCTTTGTTTAGGGTTTGAGGGTCTGGGGGAAGCCGAAGATGATTTAATGCAAGGTTTGGGGTTACCCTAAACCCTAAACCCTAAACCCTAAACCCTAAACCCTAAACCCTAAACCCTAAACCCTTGGGGTAGGGTGCAGGGTTTGAGTTTGGGCGGTTTGGGTATCCAAGCCTGTAGTCATTGTCACGCTAGCACAGGTGCTCAAGAGAGCCCGACGGCAAAGATCCTCGCCCCGAAGCCCTAAACCCTAAACCCTAAACCCTAAACACCGAGGCCTCCTCCAAGCTCGCTATCTCACACGGGAGCAGCTCACTCAGGGCTTTCGTCCTTGCACTCGGGATGCTCCCCCTTACCCTAAGGGCCCATGTACCTATATAGAATCTAGACCCGTGAGTAACCTAGAGGGTGCCCTTTTTGGTTTTAAGGGGATTGTAAGGAAACCCCAACCCTAAAAAAAGGAAAAACAGGGCCTACTCCCGGTCCTAGGTATACAGACATTGCTTGGTGGTCTCTTTAAGTAGGGTTTCTGTTTTGTAGGGGGTTCTTATTCGGGTATCTAAGGGCAATATTAAGGCGTAAGGGTAACAGATAAGAGTCCACAGGCCTTCATGTAGTATATAATACTTGCATGTATACTTGGGCCTTGAAGGGCTTCCTGTACAGCAGCTTTACGGCCCAAGTATAGACTATATAAGTACATGGATCCTTAGGGGTATACCAACAGCTCCTTAATAGGGGATTGTAGTACACCCCCAGCGAACCAAAAGCATGCTGTGGATTTTTCGGGATGCTACAAATCAGAACCCTCACTCAACCCCAAACCCTAAATCCATGAACCCCCCAAACCTATGAACCCATGAACCTGCAAGTGCTAAACCCTAAACCCTAAACCCTAAACCCTAAACCCTAAACCCTAAACCCTAAACCCTAAACCCTAAACCCTAAACCCTAAACCCTAAACCCTAAACCCTAAACCCTAAACCCTAAACCCTAAACCCTAAACCCTAAACCCTAAACCCTAAACCCTAAACCCTAAACCCTAAACCCTAAACCCTAAACCCTAAACCCTAAACCCTAAACCCTAAACCCTAGGCCGAGCTTCTCAGTGGAGGCTTCGGCAACTGACCGCTTGAGGGACTCTTTGGCCTCCTGGTCTGCGTGCTTCGGGGCAGACCGCGTAGGGCTCACGAGCTAGGGTTGAGGGTTTGGGGCTTAGGGTTTAGGGATACTAGGGTTTAGGGGTTAGGGATACTAGGATTTAGGGTTTGGGATTTAGGGTTTAGGGACACTAGGGTTTAGGGTTTAGGTTTAGGGTTGTTCTCCCTTACACTAACAGTCCCCAATTGGGATAAACGTGCCCCCCCATGAAGAAAAACTATTAAGGACTGCTTACACTGTTTGACTAGCTCCTAAACGCTGAAACATTCAAAAACCCTCAGGGCCCTGCCATAGCAACAAGCGCAGTGAACGTCTCCCCTTAACGGGTTTTAGGGTTCTGGGTTTGGGGGTTCTGCAAACTCCTCTGGCGTGGTTTCGTCTTCCGTCCCAGGGCGCCCCTCAACCCTACACCCGAATCCCGAAACCCGATCCCTCACCCCCAAACCCGAAACCCGAAACCCTGCCTTCCATGCTTTTGGGGCTCAGGGTTTCCCAGCCCGACTGCCCTCCCCTCCCCTGCCCTCCCCTTCCGTCCCCTCCCCTCCTTAAACCCTAAACTCTAAACCCTAAACCCCAAACCCAAAACCCTAAACTCTAAACCCTAAAACCCTAAACCCTAAACCCCAAACCCCAAACCCTAAAGCCCAAACCCCAAACCCCAAACCCTAAACCCTAAACCCTAAACCTCCTTTGGGCTCATCTCACCTCCGTGGCTCCCTCTATGGCAGCGGCCGCCGCGGAGTTCTGAGCCTGGAGTGCCTTTGGCGCCCAAGGTGGGGGTTTAGGGTTTAGGGTTTAGGGTTTAGGGTTTAGGGTTTAGGGTTTAGTGTTTAGGGTTTAGGGTTGCGCCTGCTTTACGGCGTAGAATAGCTTAGATAGGGTTTACAGCGCAATCTCATGGAGCATGGGGGGGATTATAGCGTTTAAGGCTATACTAGGGCTGAGGGCGGGTGCCTAGGGCCGTATAGGTTGTTCATTGTTGCTCAGTAGCCTTTACAGTAGGTCTCAATCTTGCACGGAACCCTAAGCCCCAAGCCCTGAATCACGGATCCACCCCCCCGCAGAGTCCCCATGATCTTCTTCGCACTCAACTTGGGGGTTCATGGTTTGAGAGTTGTTAGGGTTCAGGGTTTAGGGTTTTGGTCCTTTGGGGTGTAGGGTTTGGGGGGGATTTGGGCCTGATGAGGGTAGTCAAGAAGAAGGGTTCTAGGTGCCCCGAGCTAGGTGTTGGCTAGTCGCTGCTAGGATTTATGACCAGGGGTCATGGGTTAAGGCTTCGGAGAGGCTAGGGTAGTTGAGAAGTACGTAGGGCTAGAAGTACCCTAGCTTAAGTTCGAGCTGGTTAAAACTCCATCCCATAATTTCCTGCTGAACCCCTCAGCCTCTTTCATGTAAATCCAAAACCCAAAGCCCTATGACCCTATTGCTTTCCCAAGCCCCAAGCCCCAAGCCCCAAGCCCCAAAATCCCAAAATCCCAAAACCCTAAACCCCAAACCCCAAACCCGAAACCTTCAACCCCAAACCCCAAACCCCAAACCCTAAACCCTAAACCCCAAACCCTAAACCCCAAACCCTAAACCCCAAACCCTAAACCCCAAACCCTAAACCCTAAACCCTAAACCCCGAACCCAAGGGGTGAGTGCAAGGATCCCACCTCCCGAAGTTGGAGGGCCGTCTCGGCCTCTTTCTTCTTTGCCTCGGAGAATTCTTAGGGCTTGACAGCTCCTGGGCCTTCCCTCCGAGGGTCCAGAGTAGGCCCGTTTTCCCTTAAGGTTTAGGGTTTAGGGTTTAGGGTTTAGGGTTTCGGGTTTCAGAATTTGGGCTAAAGAGACCAAGCCCTAAGCCCTAAAACCCTAGACCCCGAGCTCCGTAGCAACAGGAGAAAGGACCGATCATCGTCTTAGCCTCCACTTGGTAGCCCAGCAACCACATTCTAGTCTAATGAGGGTACCATTTTGGGGGGGTTTAGGGTTTAGGGTGTAGGGTTGCTGTCTAAGGGAACCTAGAACCAAAAAAGGGCAAAAGCAGAATAAAAGAACCCTGATGCGGTATAGGGTTTTGGGTTTAGGGTGCAGCCCTTTAGCGGCTCACTTTTAGGTACGAGGAGCACTGGAGAAACCATGAAGGCATAAAACTCAAAGCCAAAACAAAAGCACACTATACGCAAATCCCTAAACTCCCCCCCCCCCGCCCTCAACCCTTCACCTGCAGACCCCCTGACCCCTGACCCCTCGCCCCTTCTCCCACCCCCTCCCTAACAAAAACAATGACAAAAAAACAACCACTGAGGCCTAACCCCCCCTGAACCCCTAACCTCTAAACCCCTAAGCCCTCACCCCCAAACCCCTAAGCCCTCACCCCCAAACCCCAAACCCAAAACCCCAAACCCCAAACCCTAGGTTTAGGGTTTAGGGTTTAGGGTTTAGGGTTCCTCTAAACTCCCAAACCCCTAAACCCTCACATTGCGGACGGGTAGCTGACCTGGCCTCGTCGAAACGACGACAAAGATCGGAAAGGTGGAGCTCTGCCTGTAGAACCTGAGGGATAATAAATCATTCTCCTCATGCTTATTTTAGTAACATGTTCCTTATTGTGATTATACATATTTCTATATATATATATATAGATGGGCAAATTCTAAATTCTCTAAATTGTGGTCCCCTCTTGGGTACCCTAAATAAAAGGAAAAGCCTTATTCTAAGGACCTAGAAAGGGACCATCTTTTCGAGGAGTGACCATAGGCGCTTTAGGGGCCTCAGGGGCTTAGGGCTTGGGGTTTAGGGTTTAGGGTTTGGGGATTTAGGGGTGTTGGGGGCTTAGGGTGCTTGGACGCATGCTGGATTTCAGACGCAGAGAAGAAATACTACTGAGCGCCTTCCCTTCAACCATATTCTTCTTTTCTTCGGGTTTAGGGTTTCCCCTAAACCCTAAACCCCAGACCCTAAACCCTAAACTGTAAACCCTTATTGTCCTTTGCTTCGGGTTTAGTGCTTCACCCTGCTTTGGCTTTTAAGGTTTAGGGTTTAAGGGTTTAGGGTTTGAGGGTTTGAGGGTTTGAGGGTTTGAGGGTTTGAGGGTTTGAGGGTTTGAGGGTTTAGGGTTTAAAGCCTCGGCCTCTTTAACCTCCCCCTCCCCCGGCTAACACCTGCTCGCTGGAGGCGATGTCGGCGTCGCACATGTCCCGGCCCAGGGTGTAGAGCCTGCGCGCTTGCGGAAAGCTTAAAAACCCTAAGGCCTGAATCCTAAATCTCGAAGCCTACAGCCGAGGGTCCCAAAGCCCCCCCAAACCCCCAAAAAACAAACCGCAAAAACAAAAAAAAATCCTAACAGCCCATAAAATCCGCAAGAAAAACCCAAAACCCCTAACACCCCATATTATCTGCAAAAAAACCCGAATACCCAGCAGGGGCCTGGCCGAAAGGTCCGCCACCTGCGCCGCTGCAGTCGCCGACCGGCCCTGCAGCGCCTTGCTGCTGAGGAAGTTTTGAAGCTAAGTTGCCATGGTCTGCATTAGATAGCTGTGGTGTGGGTTTAGGGTTTAGGGTTTAGGGGTTTAGGGGTTTAGGGTTTAGGGGTTTAGGGGTTTAGGGGTTTAGGGTTTAGGGTTTAGGGCTAGGGTTTAGGGCTGTGATACCATACTTTAAGCTCCTGAACATGCAGCCCCAGCTGCTGAGAGCTCTGGCCGAGGCCTTCGCTGCGCCTGCAGGGGCGCAGCGAAGCTCGAGGCCGCCACCTGAACCTTATCTCTTCTAGGTGAGTTTAGGGAGTTTAGGGTTTAGGGTTTAGGGTTTAGGGCTACCTTATCTCAGGGAGCAAAAGGAGGGACCCCTAGAAGGGACCCTTCATCTTATTCCCCCTAAATAACCCCCCTCTCTCTCTATTTTTAATATCCACCTCCTATCTATACAGGTATATATGTAAATGTATATGTGTATATATATATATATGCACCGTATATACAGTAGCCACCTTGAACCTTATCTCTTCTGGGTGAGTTTAGGGTTTAGTGTTTAGGGTTTGGGGGTTTAGGGTTTGAGGTTTAGGGTTTAAGGCTTGGGGTTTAGGGTTTAGGGTCTAGGGATAAGGGCTTTACGGTCAATTAGGTCTTATGTAGGGCATTGGTCTCTTCTTGGTGAATTGAGGTCTACGGCTTTACAAGGGTTGTAGGGTTTATGGTTTAGGGCGTCGGGGTATTTAGGGTGTTTAGGGCACGTAGGGTGTTTCTAGGCTTCTGGGGTTTCATTCTTAGAGTTTATAGGGCTTTAGGGTTTACAGGGCCTAAAGCTACTAATAGGGTTTTAGGGTTTACATTGAACCGACAAAAAAAACAGAGAAACAGGTGCCACAAACCCTAAACCTTAAACCCTAAACCCCTAAACCCTAAACCCCTAAACCCAAAACCCCAAACCCTAAAATGCGGCCCCGGGGCTGCCTCCCTCTCCTTGGCGGCCCTGGCCGCTTGCAGACAGGCGGTCACCTCGGCCTCCACTGCGGAGATCCTCAGGTGGAATTAGGGTTTAGGGTTTGGGGTTTAGGGTTTAGGGTTTGGGGTTCAAGGATTAGGATTTAGGGCTTTGGGTTTGGGGTTTAGGGCTGCAATCCCTAGAGGCCCCTAAGGCCAGCTAGAAACCCTGCAGACCGTGAACCCGACAAAAACCCTGTGAACCCTCTAAGCCCCCAAAAAAACCGAAGTCCCCAGGCCCTAAACCACAAAACGCTGCTAACCCCGCAACCACAAGTCAAACAACCAAACACTCCAAACAAAAAAAAAAAAACAACCCCAGAAGCCCCCCCCCCCCAAAAAAAAAAAAAAAAGTTGAACCCTGTATACCGAAAACCCTGAACCCTAAACCCTAAACCCTAAACCCGAAACCCTAAACCCTAAACCCCTCAACTCTAAACCCCAAACCCTAAACCCCAAACCCTAAACACTAAAACCTAAACCCCAAACCCGAAACCCTAAACCCTAAACCTCAGAACCCAGGTTCTGACTGGGCGTGGATTCCTTCTGCGCCGCCTGGAGATGGACCTTGAGGCCTTGGACGGAATCCTCGGCTGTTTAGGTCACCACATTTATCCCCTCCCCGGCCCTCCCCCTAATACTAATCACCCGCCCCCCCCCCCCCCCCCCCCCCCCCCCCCCCCCCCCCAAACCCAATACTGTAATACGGGGGGGGGGGGGGGGGGGTTGATGTTTAGGGGGAGGGATTTTTACAACGGTGTATGGTTTTGAGGGCTTAGGGTTTGTAGGGTTTCAGGTTTGGGAAGTTGTGTTGGGTGTTTAGGATGTAGGGCTGTAGGACCTAGGATCCCAAACCCCCAAAACATCCTAAACTCGCCCTAAACCCTAAACCCTAAACCCTAAACCCTAAACCCTTAACCCTAAACCCTAAACCACAAATTTATGGCAGCCCGGAGTCGGGGAGGTCCGGAGGTAGGGCGGCGTGGAGGATCTCCAGCACCTCCCCGGCACCTCAGCAGTTTAGGGTTTAGGGTTTAGGGTTTAGGGTTTAGGGTTTAGGGTTTAGGGCTTGAGGTTTGGGGCTTAGGTTTTGGGGTTTAGGGTTTGGGGAGGTTTGGGGCTTGGGGTTTGGGGTTTGGGGTTTAGGGATTGAGGTTTGGGGCTTAGGGTTTGGGTTTCGGATTTGGGGTTTAAGGGTTGGGGTTTAGGATTTAGGGTTTCGGGTTTAGGGTCTGGAGTTAAGGGTTTAGGGCTTGGGGTTTGGAGTTTGGGGTCTGGGGTTTATGGTTTGGGGTTTAGGGTTTGGGGTTTGGGGGTGTAGGGTTTAGGGTTTGCGTTGAGGGTTTAGGGTTTGGGGTTTGGGGTTTAGGGCTTAGGGTTTGCGGTTTAGGGTTTAGGGCGGAGGGCTCAGGGCTATGTTTGGTTCGTGTTCGCTTCTTTGTAGAACCCTAACCCCTAAAATCCCTCTGAGCTCGATAAACCCTAAATCTAGAGCAGCCGAACTGATGCCCCCTAAACCCTAAACCCTAAACCCTACACCCTACACCCTGAACCCTGAACCCTACACCCTAACCTCCCCACCCCAAACAAAAACAAGGTCGGCCAAGCCACGACCCTCGGCGGCCTCCGCGCCAACCTCCAAAGCTCTCAGGGCCGCAGTGGCCGCCCTCAGGGCGGCTCGGCCGCCTGGAGGGGGAGGGGGGGGGGGGGGGGGGGTAGGGTTTAGGGTTTAGGGTTTAGGGTTTAGGGTTTAGGGTTTAGGGTTTAGGGTTTCGGGTTTAGGGTTTAGGGTTTGGGGTTTAGGGTTTAGGGTTTAGGGTTTAGGGATTAGGGTTTAAGGTTTAGGGTTTAGGGTTTAGGGTTTAGGGTTCAGGGTTCAGGGTTCCTTGCAGGGTTTCTGGGATGTTGCCGGAAACCTAGGGTCTCTAGGTTCGGAGTGCAAAAACTATCTAATTTTGCTTGTATTTCCTCACTTCCCCAAAATACAAGGGGTGAAAAAAGACTGTTCAACTTTGTTCCTCCTACTATATTTCAACCCTTGGCGAAGCAAGATACTATCTAGCCATCAAACTCGTTTCAGAACCACTATAAATACCTAAACATTCTACCCCAAACCCTGAACCCCAAACCCTAAACTCTGAACCCTGAACCCTGAAACCTAAACCCTAAACCCTAAACCCTAAACCCTAAACCCTGAACCCTATGTATCAAACTCGCTTCAGAATCTCCAGGGTCCTTGGAGCTCCAGCTTCAGCTCTTCGCCACGCGCTTGGACATGGGGCCACTCCGCCGCCTGGGCCCCAGCTGCACCTGCTGCTCAGGCTTTAGGGTTTAGGGTTTGGGGTTTAGGGTTTGGGGTTTAGGGTTTGGGGTGTAGGGTTTGGGGTTTAGGGTTTCGGGTTTCGGGTTTAGGCGGTTTAGGGTTTAGGGTTTGGGATTCTGGGTCTTGGGCCTTGGGTTCAGAGTTCAGGGTCCAACGAACATGCCGGTATCTAGGGCTTCTAGGGTCTTAGGGCTTCAGGCTTCAGGGTGCAAAGGTTTTGGGTGTTGGGGTCCAGGGTGTAAGGGTCAGGGTTCAGAAGGTTGGTCCATCGATCAGGGATTTGGAGGGTTTCAGAGTTGAGGAATGAAAGTTTTGGGGTCAGAGGTTGATCCTATAGCCCTACAGACCCTGAACCCTAAACCCTAAACCCTAAACCCTAAACCCTAAACCCTAAACCCTAAACCCTAAACCCTAAACCCTACACCTATAGCTCCGCAAGGTACGTGCTATAAGCACACTTGCAACCCACACCCGGCCCGAAAGTGCCTGGCAGCGGAGGGTCCGTAAGGTTGGCACAGAGAGCTTCGAACGCCAGGCTCTTCAACGCGCGTGACCTCGCTGGTGGATGCGCCCATGCTACCCCGAAAGGACTCACGAGTTTAGAGTGGGAACTTCCGCATGAAACCCTAAACCCTAAACCCTAAACCCTAAAACCCTAAACCCTAAACCCTAAACGCCTGGATAAGAAGTGCATGTTGGAACTTAGTGGAATACTGGGTCCACAGCACTTGCATGATGAGAAGGTTGAACAGACCATTCAACATACAACATGACTGAAGATTTTTGGCTCGGACTCTGCGGACACATTGGCATGTGAACCCTGATGAATACCCTGAGGCCCTAGTTACCTACCGGGCTGGGCGAAATTTTGCAATGCCAGATTGTTTGTTGGTGGCTGGCGCAACCCTAAACCGGGTTTACGGTTTAGGGCGGAACAGTGCTAATCGCGTCTGCCAACTTCTGCAATCTATAAATCAGCTTTTGCCACAGAACCAAACGGGTCGAATACAGCAGCCTATTTAAGAAATAGGCTTAAGGATTCAAGGTTCCAGGTCCAAATCCTCTTTCTGGGCACATGCAGGCGTCATTCTGCTATTGGCTCTTGGCCAAAGGACCAGGCTTAGGGATCCTTGCGGGTTAAAAGGGCTGTGCCTGAAAAGTACTTCCGCTTTTGCTCCAAGCCCTCAAACCCCTAAACCCAAATCCCAAACTCCCACACCCGCCCTTGGGGTCCGGGTTGAGGGTTGAGGGGTTTATCCCTGAACCCTAAACCCTAAACCCTCAATTTTTACAGCGTTTAGGGAACCCCCCCCCAGCCCGGCCTCAGGCACTCCAAGGCATCCCGCTGCGTGCCCACGAGCTCCCGGCAGCTTCGCTGCAGGGAAATCACCTGCTCCCGCCTGGCGGCGCTTTTCGGGTTTAGGGTTTATGGGGTTTATAGGGTTTATAGGGTTTATAGGGTTTAGGGTTTAGGGTTTAGGGTTTAGGGTTTAGGGGTTTCGGGGATTTCGGGCCCTAAACCAAGCCCCAAACCCCAAACCTGAAACCCTGAAGAGGCCTAAACCCTGTAAACCCTGAGCCCCAAGGCCTAAACCCTAAGGTTTATACCTGAAACCCGAAACCTAAGGCGCAACCCAAAACCCGAAGTCCTAAACCCGAAACCCTGCTAGGGTTAGGAAACATATATATATATATAATTATTTATTTATTTATTGATTTATTTATTTGTTTTTCTTATTTGTTTTTATATTTATAGTTATATTTATATTTATATTTACATTTATATTTATATTTATTGTATATTTATACTTTTCTTTATATATATATATATATATATTTATTTATTTATTTTATTTATTTATTTACATACATATGTATTTTCGTTTTAAGGTAAGACCGTAGTAGAAATAAAACGTCTGAGGGTTTCATAGGCGGCGCGTTGCTGAAGGGTCTAGGTGCTCAGGGAAGCCCCGACATCCAGAACTCTCTACCCGCCAGTGGCATTAACAAGGTTGAACTTAATGAGCACATCGTAGTCTACCTGAACTCGCGGCTTAGGGTTTAGGGTTTAGGGTTTAGGGTTAAGGGTTTAGGGTTTAGGGCTAAACCCTAAACCCTAAAGCCCTAGGGGTTTCGGGTTTAGGGTTTAGGGATTAGGGCTTAGGGTGTCCGCAAGAAGGTGTCGGACATTGGGTCGCGCCTCTGCATCCTGCGCGCGGTGGCCTCAGCCACCTCGCAGCGCAGCGCGCCGAGGCGGCCGCTGGCGGCCTCTGACCAGAGGACGAACCCCGAAGCAAGATGAAATAGGGTTTAGGGTTCATAGGGTTCATAGGGTTCATAGGGTTCATAGGGTTTATAGGATTTATAGGGTTTATAGGGTTTATTGGGCTTATAGGGTTTATCGGGATTATTGCCCTAAAACCCTAAATCCTTAAGCACTGTTTTAAGGGTCTCAGAGAGACCCTTCGGAAAGGTTGAGGGATGTCCTTCGAGGCTCCGATGCGGCCAAGGAGAGCAAGCAACAAGCTGCATAATCCCCTCCCCCTAATATTTTAAAACCCCCCCCTACCCCCTAGTTTTAAATGCCCCCCATTATAGTTATATTTTATTAAATACCCCCCCATTATAGCTATATTATAGTATATTGGGTGGTTTTTAATTTTTAGGGGGTAGGGGGGGTTTAATTTTAGGGGGAGGGGAATAGCCCTAAACATGAGAATCGGGGTACCACGGGTCGCCCTGAACCGTAAACTCGAAGTCCTACACCTTACACCGCTTTAGACAAAGAGTGGGGGGGGGGGGGGGGGCGGAACGGCTCAAATTGTAGGTAGAGAAAGTTTTTTTCTTGAGACTGGGTTTAGGGTTTAGGGCTTTGGGCGTCAACCAAGCCCTAGAAACCTAAATGAAGGTAGGGGTTCAGGGTTTAGGGTTCAGGGTTCAGGGGTTTAGGGTGAGGGTTGAAGGGTTGATCGGCTTAGAGTTTAGGGATTGAGGTTTAAGGGTTTAGAAGTTTAGGGTTCAGGGACTTGGGGTTCAGGGCTCAGCAACTCGTCCAAATCCCAAAGTCTCGAACCTCAGTGTGCTCCAGTGAGAGGAAGGTCACTAAAAATCTACAGGTGTCATCACTGGACCCCGGAAGATTCACAGTTCAAAGGGTCTTAGTAGCCCAGTAACCATACCACGATAAAGGGCACCCTTTGTTTGGTTGGTTACTTTATAAGGGATCCAGAACCAAAAAAAAAACGGGAAAAGGGGAACACTGGGCTACCAAGGGGGTTAGGGTCTCGAGTTCAGGGTTCCGGATCTAGGCTTAGGGCGTTGCTCGATGCATTTTTTCCCGGCGCATGTGGAGCGGAGTTGGCTCGTGCCAAGGTACCTAAACCCTAAACCCTAAACCCTGAACCCCAAACCCTAAACCCTAAACCCTAAACCCTAAACCCTAAACCCTAAACCCTAAACCCTAGGGTTTGGAACCGCCTTTGCGATCCTCTGGATCATCCAGCACTCCTGCCTGGCAGAATGTGAACAATCTCATCCACTTGTCTCTTTCCAGGTTGCGCCCAATGAAGACCTCGGCGGCCCCCGTAAAGGTTTAGAGTTTAGGGTTTAGGGCTTGGGGTTTAGGGTTTAGGGCCTTAAACCTTCCGAACAATCTTCTAAGAAAAGCCCTCTTAAGCCATAGAAGCGGGAACATACACACCAACATCTTACCAACTCAGATCCGCTGAAGGGGACAGCAAAATGATATCCCAAGGACCTGCCTAGAGACCAGCTGAGAGAGTGGCTCCTTCCCGTCCGGCCAGTCGCCCCGGGGCTCAAACTCACACATGTCATGCACGCCTTGCAGCACGGCTTGCTTGAGCTCTCCAGACGTCTCCTTTCGAACGTTTTATAAAGCACAGGCACCATCCCATCCCTCCAAAAAAAGCATAATCATGAACATTACAATAGTCGATAATAAGACGACTAATACTAATAGAAAGTAACGGAACATTGCAAGCTAATAATGGGCCCTTACTTTTCAGATCCTTCTATACCGAGCACACAGCCCATACATACCTTCTTAATGGGGTGCCCATACTCTCTTCCCCAAAAGAAGCCAAGGGGCCCGTATCAGGTCCCACGCTTCCAACCGTTGGTTCCAAAATCTTCCGAACAAATTCTTGACTCAGCCGCAAGTAGCTATAAGAATGCTCCCTTATCCTTGTTCTGTAGGGAAAATCAAGTATGGGCCCTTATTCTGTACAGTATGTAAGGGTTTTGTAACAAGGGACCCAAATTAAGGGCACCCTAAAAACCCTAAAAACACTAAAACCCTAAAAACACTAAAACCCTAAAACCCTAAAACCCAAAAACCCTAAAACCCTAAGCCCTAAACCCTCCTTCACGCACACCACGCCCTTGTAGCGGTAGAGGTCAACGGCGTGCTCGTTCTTCAGGGCGCTCATGACTTCGACGAAGCGCTGGATCACCAGAGGCGCGCCCTTCAGCGCAATGCCTTCCAGGGACTTTCTGGAGCGCAGGACAGAAAGAAGGGTAGGGTTTAGGGTTTAGGGTTTATAAGTTTTAGGGTTTAGGGTTTAGGGTTTGGGGTTTAGGGTTTAAGGTTTAGGGTCTTGGGTTTGGGTTTAAAGGGGCTTAGGGCTTAGGGTTTAGGGCAGGGCTCAGGGCTTAATTGGAGTTTTGGAGGGTTAGAGCTTGAAAAATTCAGGGCTTATTTGAAGGGCCGTTGGGGTGTAGATAGAGGGCTGCATGATCCTCTAAACCGAAAAACGCCCCTAAAATCACCCTTCTACGGGAGATTTCTCTAATGTTTTTGCAGATTCTGATAAAGCAAATAGTAGTGTGTGCCCAAGGCGCTGCAGCTGCCAACACCAGTGTCGTGCCGCGACGCCCGCAGCCTGGGCTCCCCGGAAACTAGGGTTGCGGTTTTAGGGTTTAGGGTTTAGGGCTTAGGGGTTTAGGGTTTAAAGATTTGGGAAGAGAGTTTAGGGTTTGGGGGTTTTAGGGGCTTAGGGTTCGAGTCATAGGAATGTTAGGGGGTTTCAGGTGCATTCAGGGGATTTAGGGGCATTTCGGGGTTTTAGGGTGTTGGGGCATTTGGGGCTTTCTAGACTTTGCGGCTTTCAGGTCTATTAGGGCTTCCAGGGCTTTTAGGGCTTTAGAGCTCTTAGGGCTTTTAGGGCTCGAGGGAGACTAGCAAAACATAACTTATTCTTTTTTTACAAGCTCATGTTGATTTTCTGGTTGACTTATCAAACGAACGTTAGCAACACACAAAAACTGCCGCCAATTCCAGCGTCTAGCAACAAATGAAAACAAGGAGCCACCCAAAGCCCGGAAACCGACAAACCCTACAAGCCCTACCCCAACTCTGCAATAAAGCCACTCTATATACTCCTAGACCCTAAACCTACCCCTAAACCCCAACCCCCAAACCTCAAACCCCAAACCCTGCACCCCAAACCCGAAACAGGCCCCAAACCCAGTAAGGGAATGTATAAAATATCTCGAGGGCCTACCTAGGTCCTACACCCTAAACCCTAAACCCTAAGCCCTAAACCCTAAACCCTAAACCCTAGCCCTCAACCCTAAACCCTAAACCCTAAACCCTAGCCCTAAACCCTGAACCCTAAACCCTAAACCCTGAGTCCTAAAAATCCCAGGAGCAGGCCGCCCGTCTTCGCTCTTTTGGCGGAGTTCTGGGTGGCCACCGGTTGGCTCAGCTGCCAGTCTCCTCCCTCCGGGTCCTCCTTGGTGAGGTGCTAAGGGTTGAGGTGCAGGGTTTAGGGTTTAGGGTTTAGGGTTTAGGGTTTAGGGTTTAGGGTTTAGGGTTTAGGGCTAGGGTTTAGGGTTTAGGGTTTATGGTTTAGGATGATGCCGAGAAAGGGCGGAGGGGCGTGGGGAGCACGTGGTCCATACCTGGTTGCGCAGCAAGACTCATCCTAGTGGCCTGCGGCCTGCCCAAAAACCAGGAAACGGTAGAGGTGCAAAATGCCGGGTTACTTTGGGAACCCACCCACCGTATACCATTCTAGGAATGATTGAGTCTTGATGGGAGCAGCATAGGGTGAAACCCTAAACCCTAAACCCTAGAACCCCAAGCCCGAAGCCCTAAACCCTTAACCCTAAACCCTTAACCCCCTAAAATTCCGAACCTAGGGGTTCATTCTCAAATGCCACAAGGCTCCGACATCTTCTGCAGGATGCGGTCCAGGCTGAAACTTTCAGCAGTGAGGAGCTCATCGAGCGGAAGCTCCCCGGGTTTCTTTGCCTAAACCCTTAAGGGTTTCGGGTTTAGGGCTCAGAGGGGTTTGTGGCCTTTTGGGCCGTTTTTGGGGCATTTTGGTTTTTAGGGCCGCTAGGGTCTCTGCTCTGGGGCGTCCAGGGCCCTTCAGGCCTTAAGGGCCTTGAGGTTTTAGGGCATAAGCTAGTTGTAGGTTTGGGGTACATCCTGAACACACCCTTTTAGTGTCGAATGGGGTTGATAAGGTAACCCGACTCACTGGCGCCCCACAAAAAGCGGATGCTACTGAGCAGCCAAGTCGCCAAGCTACACCTCACAATGGGGCACAGGGCGTTCATGCTCCGAATGGCTGCCTCCAGTTCGTTCAGGGAGTCGATGCTCACGGCATCCACCTGGTGGTTTGCGATTTATTAGGGGGGGTACCTTATTGGGGTCCTCATTATAAGGGGATCCTACTATCTGGGGATGTATATTAGCGGTCCCGTAGCATCGTAGACCCCCACCTTGTTCAAGAGAATCTTATCTGCAAAAGCCACTTGCTGCACCGACTCATTCACGGCACCGTCCGAGCGTTTTCGGCCCAGCTGTTGCATGAAGTGGCAGGCATCCACCAAGGTCAGAATGCCTTACGATTCATCAGGGAGTTCATACCGCCCCTTGAGGGGCATTATCGGACACCTATCCCCGAAATTTCCCCCCCCCCCTCTCCAAAAGAATATCCTACTCAGAAACCGGTGTAAGATGCAGTCCACGCGGGTGCGCTCGCGCAGGTCCGGGTCCATGTAGAAGGTCTTGCAGACGGGTCCGGGATCCGCCAGACCGGTCGTTTCGATCAGGATGCCGTCCAAAACCCTCCCCGGAACATCGGTACCCTTGGCCTTATCTGAACTTGGAACCCTAGCGAAGGTTGTGTCTTTTTGGCTGTTTCTTTGGAATTCTAGTGCCCCGAAAATTAAAAGTTATTCTCAAGCATCCTCATAAACCCTAATTAAAAGTGATTCCCAAGTGTCCCTAAGTGGCT